TTAAGGATGACTATTATTAATGAAAATAATTATGTTTCTATGTATTCATTTCAGGATACTCACCAATAAAAAAATGCAAAACCTTAAAAATATAAAAATATATATATCCAAGTGAATAAGACATTAAAAAATGAAACCCTTAGCATATTGATAAGCATTCATCATTCACAAACATTCACATCTCATTCATAAAAAAATCATATTTTTTCAAAACCTTCTCCAGTTAAACCATTGGTAGAAGAAAACCACCACCTCTCTGACCACCATATCAAAAAAGAGCCCATCAACAAAAAGTGATAGAACAAATTGAGGAGAATCAAGTTGCATTCAAGGAAGATCTTGAGTAAGTCAAAGGAAAAGTTGACTCAATGAGAGGAGACATGAGTCAAGTTATTCTAGCCTTGAAGAACATCATTGACAGACAGGAGCAAATCCCTAGGGTATCTTTCAAAGAAGTAGCCCAGACCATTGGTGCATCGAGCGATCACCAACCGAGGAAAGAACCAGAGTCAGGACCCCAAAAGTCCTCCATGTCCCAACAAGAGGCGAGACAAGCTGATACTGAAGGGTTTGTCCCATCTCCACCAAAGGTAGGGGCATCTCATCCATGCAGATTCTGATTAACAACACAGACAACCTCTTGGATTTGCAATATGGAGACCACAACTTAAAGGATGTCAATCGAGCACCTCAAAGAACAACTCATACTCATGCTACTGAGAGTCCCTTGGTACTCAACCGTTACAAAGCTCTGGAGGAAAGGTTAAAAGTTGTGGAGGGTTACAATGCTTTCAATGTAGATGCTCTCAAAATGGGTCTAGTTCCTGATGTGGTGATCCCGCCAAAATTCAAAGTACTTGACTTTGGAAAATACAAGGGGCTCAGTTGTCCTAGGAACCATCTACATATGTATTGCAGGAAGATGCATTCTTATGCTCAAGACCAGAAGCTGGTGATTCATTGTTTTCAAGACAGTTTAAGTGGGGCATCCTTGGATTGGTACACGCAGTTTGAACGGGTTCATGTTCAGACATGGGCAGATCCTGCTAATGCGTTTCTGAAACATCATAAATATAACTTGGATATGGCGCCTACCCGCATGAAACTCCAAAATTTGTCTCATAAAAAGTAGGAATCTTTCAAGGAGTATGCTCAAAGGTGGAGAGAAATGGTGTCCTGTGTACAACCACCACAGTTGGAGAAAGAATTGGTTGACATGTTCATGGGAGCTTTACAAGGATTGTATTATGAAAAGATGGTAGGAAGTGTCTCTTTCGGATTTTCTGATTTGGTGACTATCGGTGAGAGAATTGAAGCACGCATAAAGAGTGGAAAGACACAAGGGGAAACACCTAGTATCCATTATAATTCAAAAAGATATGTTCCTAACTTCTCGCAAAAAGGGGAAGGAGAAATTAATGTTGTTGCATCACACCCAAGGACACAACAACCATTGGTAATTCCACGAGAACAATAACAACAAAACAGATTCGAAAGGCCTCCGTGAAGATTTAACCCTCTCCCCATGCCTCACAGTCAATTACTGCAGCATCTACTCAAAGCATCTTTGGTAGAGCAAAAGCCTCTAGCTCTTCCAATTAGGGAACTTCCACCAATGTATGATGCAAATGCCAGATGCGAGTATCATGCCAATTCTCCAGGGCATACTAAAGAAAAATGTTAGGCCTTCAGACACAAGGTTCAGGATTTGTTGGATTCTCAGGATATCACTTTTGACAAATTGAACACCAAGACAAACCCCATGCCTCCACATGGTAGTCCGAATGTGAATGCAATTGAAGTAGTCACTGACCATGGAGGGATCAAAGAGAATTTTCCTTTCATTCAGGAAGTCTTTATCAACAAAGGGGTAGAGCATGGTGGATAAGTAGCGATGATACCTAATAAAAACAACACCAAAAGAGCAGTTGACTTCATTCGTGAGTGTGCTCCATACGAAGAACTCAAGAATTTGACAGTCGTGGAGATTCTAGAGATATTTTTCTTTCCAAAGTAATTTTTATTATTTTAGAAAGAACCTATGTAAAGCCCGAGGCATATGGGTTGCTTATAAGGGTCCCCCATTTTGTTTCAGACAGTATTCATAATTAATAAAAAATATATTTCGCATTCAATTAAGATCCATGTCTTTCTCTTTCATTTATATTTTACATTTAAAAATGGCAATAATTTTTTTCATATGTGTTGTACCCAAAAATTTACCCTCCCATTTTCTTCAAGACATTCTTCTAGGGTTCTCAAATGCTCAAGGATGCTCAAGAGTTGATCTGACAAATGCTCCTCCTAAGCAACAAGTCTACAAATAGAGTTTTGAGTTTCTCAAGGAAGATTGGGTCCCAAAGGTCTCAAGTGATTTCTATGGTTCTTCATATGTATTCAAGGATGCTCATATCAAGTTCCAAGTCTTGCATCACAAGTTTGCTCAATCAATTGCTCAGATCATTGAAAATCAATTGTATTGGGTAAAACGTCAACTGTGGTCAACATACACCCAAACTTCAATATTTTTGGTCAACATCAACATTTTGAAGTGATATTCATCATTTTATCAAGGGTTGATCACGATTTCTCAAGAAAAGACCTCAAATCATCAAAAGTCCAAAGTTGCCAAATTAGGGTTTCCCTATGAGAAGTCAACTGAACTTTGACCAAGCATAACTTTCACATGTTTGATACGGTGGGAGAACTGACTTGGTTGTTTTTCATTTTATCGCAAATGTTGCGGATAACAAGAGTCACCACCGACTTTTCTTTAATCCAATAAAGGAAAGGGTGAAAGAACAGGAAAGACCTTTTGAGAATTTTCTTGAGTTCGGGGGGTAGGTTATGAAAAGGGAAGGTGTTAGCACCCTTTTCATCCGTAGTTATCTATGGGATCTTAATTGCTAGCTCACTTTGAAATGATTCGTGTTTGTGTAAGTTTGAAAATATTTTGACAACACCTTCGTACGACAAACTTTGCAATGATTCTCGTATTGTTGAGAATGTATACAAAGTGTTGGTTTTGAAAATGTTTGTTTGAAAATTAATGTTTGAAAGATGTTTTGAAGCTGCCAATGTAAGGAAATTTTGTAATGATTCTCGTATTATTGAGAATGTATACGAAATGTTTGTTTTGAAAAGTATTTTGAAAGTGTGATGTGTGGAGTGTTTTTGTTTGTGAGTAAGCAATTACGAGCAATCTACCTACTCAAAAAGTCTTTGTTCTTTTCCTCATACTTTAGATAGTGCTTACCTACCATTGATTGGTAGAGAGCCATATCATTGGATGTGAGGGACAGGCGTGGGTCATCGTACAATCATTGAAGGCAACCTGTAAGATGTTTTAGCAATTGTCGTAAGGGACTAAGATCGTTTATCGAAGGCAACATCGAAGGGTCATCGAGGGACTACGATCTTTTAATTGAGGGTCTTTGCTAAAACATCCCACGTTCGAGGAACATGACTGTTTTTATCCGAGGCAACAAGTGAGGTTATCCTAGAGGTGAAAGTGTGTAAAGTGTTTTGTTTTCATGTATATTATCTTTGAATTAGGGTTTTCTAATGTTTGATTTTAATCTTGTCACGCAAACCCTAATTACTAACAATATTAAGGAAAGCGATAAATTGCGGAAATTAATTGTCCCACGCTATTACAATGCTTTGGGAATGGGGGTTACAATTTTATGAATAGGGGAAGAACGCAATAAAACCCTAATTACTATTACAAACCATTAGATATGAATAATAATACACAAAAATATAAAGATGAAGAAGAAAAGAAAATTATTTTTAGGGTTTTTGATGGAGAAAAAGGTTTTAGTAATTAACCTAATTAGACTAATTAATTTTATTCACAAGAAAAATTACTTAATTATTTAATCAAAACCTAAAAATCTAAATTAATTAAAATAAACCCTAAATCTAATTTTAATTTGTTTAGAAAATAATTTTTGTTAATGTTAATTAAGAAAATACTCTACAATGTAAAAGAAATAATAAAATTTAATTTAACAAAGTAAAATAAAATGCTTAGATTAAATTTTTTAAGAAAAAAATAATGTTTTTTTTTGTCTTAATAAAATAAATAGATTAATAAAAATAGAGAAATATAAAAAGGTTGGGCTTGAGGTGTTAAAAAAGTAAAAGGGAGGTAAAAAGTTAGCAAAAGGTTAGGCCCAATATGTATTTTTTTGTTTGAAATCAGAAAATAAAAAAAAGTGTGTGCATGGGCCTGTGTTTTGAAAAGTAAAATGGGGAGTATGAAGATAGCAAAAAAAAAAAGAGAAAGAGGCCCAAGACGGAAGGGCCCAGCGCCTATTGAATCATGTGTGGCTAACATGTGATGATGTACCATGGTCTTGCCTATGTGGTGCGTTGGATCTGCATTGCTAAACATCCAATGATGTTGACGTGTGGCTCATGATAGGCGCACATTGCTTGTATGCACAGAATCTGAAATAAATAAATAAGTGAAACAAAAAAGGGTACCACTGCGGCTCGAACCCAAGTTAGTTGTTAGTGCGTGAGACACTTTTAGTGAGGAGAGATAGAGAGAGAATAAGAAAATAAGAATGCTATTATGAATTGAATTGTACAAACTGAATTACAAACTATATCTATTTATATACAACTAACTTGTACACTAAGCAGACTAACAAACCCTAATTGAACTTAAATTTGAATTACACAACTTGGACTATATCTTATATCTCAACAGTTTTTACATGCACAAGAGAGTATCCACCTTAATGTTAAGACAAAGCTCATACTTATATATGACCTGAACCTATAAAGAAAATACATAATCACTTAAGATATGGGAAAAAGATCTTAGGTTCTTATTTGTAACATAATAATTGAACCTATAAAGATAACACATAATCACTTAAGAAATGAGACACATAACAAAATAAAATAAAATAAAATAAAATAAAAGCTTGAATAAATTAGGAGAAGGATGTTACAAAAAAATATGGGAAAAAAGTTTAACAGACTATCTAGCTAGTACTAGTGTGCATAAATAATTTAGCCTTTCTATACACTTCTGTCAAACATTTTTTAAATCTAATTAAATCAATTATCACATTTTGATTCTTCAAGTACACTAATTGATTAGCCCATTTACCATCACGAAAAGTTTCTGGATCGTTCATCACTAAACTATCAGCTCCATATTTCCAAGACAAGCTACTTTCATTAGCTTCTATTTTGTACTCAACATATTCCAATCCCAAAATCTTGGTTGGTTTGTAATAATAAGTTTCTGAAGCCCACTCAAGTCCAATAGGCACAATTTGAACCAACACCGAGCCTTGTCTAAGAAATAATAAATTTGTTAGACCTGCACCATGCACCCCTAACATTACATGACTCGAATGAATCAATCTATACGTATCGACTATTGATGAATCTCTTGTTGTATCTAAAACATGTACATTGAACCCGATATCTTCAGCTAATTTGATGACTTCTTCTTGATTCAAAATCACACGCGAATTTCCTTTTCTACTAACCAATGTTAAAAGAGGCCTACCCATATTATCGTGATATATTAACGAGGTGTCCTTCTTTATATATGCACTATTTAGAAATGCATGAAAATCAACAAGAGTTATAGGGAATGGTAACAATTTAGGGTCTATGATCAATTGTCCATGCTTTACCAAACCTATGATTGCTGATGGGAAACAATGTGTGGTTAAGTTATTTGCCTCGATGATTATGCGGTGTGGAGTAAATGCAGATAATAAATCATCATATTTTTTTAACCACCAAGCCTTACTATCTACTATTACAAGTATTACATCTTGATTAGGAGATAATGAATGGATGGTTATAAAAAGTGATATGAAAATTTCATTCATGTCATGATAGAAGTTTCCGGTGTATCCACTCCCACTAAATATTATTGCTGGACTATGATGTGTGACACCACATTGAGATGAATATTTTTGTGAATCTGATGTGAGAGTGAATTCACTAACGGAAGACATTGCATCTTTACTATTTTTGAGAGGATAAGGTTGAATTTTCAAATGGATCTGAGGTTGGGTTCTTATATTTGAGTCCAAGGTAACAAGTGTTAATGAAGTTTGGTCTAAAAGTGTTGGACCATTCATTCTGCATATATCAAAATCTATATTAGAACGGTCACATGTGATTGCTGTAGTATTAACTTTCAAATCCAAATTTTTGTGCAGGTTTGAGAGCATTTGCCTAGTTACATCTGCATAAACAAAATAAATATAACTTTATATAAAAATAAATAACAAACTAATATTTAATATTTTAAGATTTTCTGAATATTTTTTCTATAATTACTTGTTATTATATTAAAAATGAAAATAACTATAATTGATTTTAATATATAATAATTGATTTTTTTTCTAAAAATATAATAAAAAATATTTAAGTTATAAAGACACAACAGATATAGAATGAAATTATATAAATAAATTATTCTAAAAATACGCTCAATATATATGGTTAGTGTAGAAAAGAATAAAGATATTTTTTCTTAAAAGTAATACAGTAAAATTAATAAATAATTTAAAAAAATTATCATAGTACATCCTTTGGATTACTACTATAACTAAAAGTAAGTTTTTTTTGTTAATTAAACAATTGATGTATATACGTAATAAAAGTCAATTTTATTTACGGTCTAATTAATTTTAAAAAAGGACCGCAAATTAAAATTATCATTGACTTTGACTTCCATTATAAATATAAGTAAAATTTTAAGTACTATCAAACTTAAGTATTGAGTCAAAAGTAAAATTGTAGAATTTTGTTATACCGTCGTAAAAGTTTACTTTTTCGATAGTATAATTTATTTCTTTTACAGATTATTTACATTTTGTGTGGCTTATCCAATATATGTTAATATCTGAGACTGAAATTTATAATTAGCAATATTTTTGGTAAAATTAATTTATTTTAACTTAATTTATTAGGTTTTTGATAATATAAAAATATTTAATAAATTATTGTAATAAACATTTTTAACAGTTAATTTAAATGTGTAATAAAACCAATTGATAAATGATATTGTCAATATTTTTTAAGAAATCATAACTAAAAAAGCATTGGCGAAATTTCTAAAAATAAAAATAATGAAATAACAAAATTTCAATATAGAAGAGAAATTAAAAATTTGACATCTAAAAATTTAATTTTTGAAAATGCTTTTCTCAATAATTTTTAAAAAAAAATCATAACTAAAAAAGCATTGTCGAAATTTCTAAAAATAAAATTAATTAAATATAAAGTATTTTACTATAAAAGAGAACTTCAAAGTTTGTTATCTATAAATGTAATTTTGAAAATGCTCTTTTCACCATTTTTCTAAAAGAACTTTAAAAAAAAAAGCATTGTAAAAATTTCTATAAAAAATCAAATATTTTATTATACAAGAAAACTTAAAAGTTTGTTATCTATAAATAAATTTTTTAAATTAACCAATACATATCTTAAAGAGATGTTTTTACTTTATTGCCATGAAAATTAATCAAACAAGTTATTGATTTTTTTTAACTACAGAACCAACTAAAATCTATCATATGATAAAGTTAATCAGTAATTTAATAAAATCTCAAAAAATAATTATGGTAGTTAAATCATGACAAAATAGACATATAAACAGTGATTAATCTAAACAAACTCTCTAAAAACATAAAAACAAGTTTGCTTAATATAATTGATAAATATGGAGTTTGTTGATTAATTACCTCGCATAATAGTGAACTGGAGAATGAAGATGAGTCCCAATAGTGCAAACCATGTACCCCATATTGACAATAATACTGTCTTCCCTTCCATCACACCACCCTGAAAGAGAAGCACAGATTATGAATAATTCTTGAAGGATTATTTGCATGCAACTCAATAATTAAATAGATAAAAAGTGGATTTGGATGAACAAACTATTCTATATAGTTAACTGTAACTTGATTATGTAAAAGGAAAAGAGCTCTTAGTTACCTGATAGCTAGCACTGCCTCTCTGGCTTAGCTTTCCCCCCACATTTCTATCTATATATATAGGTAAAAAGTTGATAGAGTAAAATATAGATACAAAATTATACGAGCCTGGCACATGAGTATTATTACTTATTTTATTTGATGGTCGGTAACTTGAGTATTATTCTACTTCTTGAAAGAATCTACCAAATATTTATTTTATAAAATTCTTTGTTTGATTTAAAAGTTTGTATACGTACATTTTTTTATAAAATTTTAAATAAATATAAAATTATTTTATATGTCATTTGCATTAATTTTGTTGATATATATATATATATATATATATATATATATATATATATATATATATATATATATATATATATATATATATATATATATATATATATATATATATATATATATATATATATATATATATATATATATATATATATATATATATATATATATATATATATATATATATATATATATATATATATATATATATATATATAAAATAAAATAAAATTTTGTTGAACTTCGAAGCTTATTTTGAAGAAAAAAGAGAGTTGGTTCAATTGATGATTCAATAGAATTTTTAATTCTATTTTCTAAAAAAGAAATTAGAGTTGTTTCTCCAGTGTATTTGATCAATGTCAATATTATTAATATTATTGGGTTGAATACTATTATACGTAATTGAATAAAAAATTTCATATTTGAGTTTAGGGGTGTTTAAATCCAAACCAATCTAAATACAAAACCGATTCAAAAAATCGAAAACTGCAAAAAACCGAAATTTATTGAACGTGTTTGGATGTTATTTTGTGAAAATCGATCAGTTCGGATCGGATTTCAGATTAATTTTTCAAAACCGATCCAAACCAAACCAAACCAAACCGCATACATATATTTTTATACTTATTTATTTTTTATTAACATGATATGCTATGTGAAATTATTATTAGATGATAATAATTTTTTTAATAATAGTTATTAACTTGGTATAATTTATTTATTTTTATTATTTCAATCATAATCAACCACTTTCATTTTGTAATATTAACTTTTAATATACTATATGTTATATATTATATCAAATTTATGATTTATTAGTAGTTTTATAATATTAATAAAAATATAATGTGTAATTTGGATATCCAAAAACCGATTCAAATTAAACCGCATAAAATTAGATCGGATCGAATTGTTTTTTTAATATATCATCTAAAATTGAACCGAACCGCAAGTAAATTTATCTTTAGATCAGATGATTTTTTATCTTAAAACCGATCCAAACCGAACCGAAAACACCCCTACTTGAGTTTCTATCACTCTTGGTTAAAAAGATTTAAAAATATTTTATTTTATCAATTTTATTAAAAATTAGTATTTGACATTATTTCAAATATGTATTACAATTATGATATATTGTCTAATTTTGATGTGATAGTTTGTCATGACAATTTGTATATAAAAGAGATTTCGATAAATGAAGGATATATATATATATATATATATATATATATATATATATATATATATATATATATATATATATATATATATATATATATATATATATATATATATATATATATATATATATATATATATATATATATATATATATATATATATATATATATATATATATATATATATATATATATATATATATATATATATATATATATATATATATATATATATATATATATATATATATATATTATATATATATATATATATATATATATATATATATATATATATATATATTCTCAATTATTATCATCTAATTATTTTGACTAGTTAGTTGTTAATATAAATTGTATATGTCATGTATCTGCTTCTTTATCTTATCCGTCATTACTTTTTTTTCCCTTCTTTTATCAATAATTATTTTTGTTTTTTTATTAATTAAATAAATAATTTTTTTTACATATTTAATGTTTTTTTAATATATTTTTGTAATTTTGTAAATCATTGTTTATGTTACATAATAAAATGATATATTTTTATTAGATGATTAAACTTAAAGATTTTATTTCATTGTGAGATTCTAAATTCTTAAAAGATATATAAAAGCTTATTCATTTCCAACTGAATGATATTTGTTAACATACTTTGTTTAGAAAATTAACTATTACCAAAAATACAGATGAATCCTAATATATTTTTTTAATTACGTGATAGTGATATTGATGACTGTATTAATATATTAATTAACATGTTTTTTCTGTTGTTTAAATTATTTTTAGTTTAATTAATAATTTTATTATGTTTTTAAATATTAATTAATTGCTAATGAAAAAGTTACTTATACTTTGTTTGGACTCCTTTTGTGGAAACAATAACCCAATATTCCATTAATACCTTATTATTAGTGTATCTTATATAAAGACTAAAACTAATTACAACTTAACCGATGTGGGACATGTAAAGTAAATGGTTCAAATCTCTTCTTCTTTCACTTACATTACTCTTAGTAACCTCAAGTGCATCGACCAGCCACCACCATGTTGCAACAACAACCAATCTTGCTTTCCAAAATCTAAAAATCAATCATCATGTTGCAACAACAACCAATCTTCTCACTCTCCATTGTATGTATAGATTTGTAATTTTATTATAAAAATATAAAGATTGTACAAAAGATGGTGGTAACCTACAAAGATTGGCATGACATATTATCATTTGTTTTTTATGGTTATCGTACTTCGACGCGAACATCAACTGGGACAACCCTATTCTCTCTAGTCTATGGCATGGAAGTTGTCTCGTCTGTCGAAGTTCAGATTCCTTCTCTAAGGATTATGAAAGAAGTAGACTTAGATGAAGACGAGTGGATTCAGACTAGGTTGAATCAGTTGAATTTGATTGACGAGAAAAGGCTTGCGGCTGTCTGTCATGGTAAGATGTATAAAAAACGTATGATCAAGATATTCAACAAAAAGATCAAGCATCGGGTATACCGGGCTGGTGACTTGGTAATAAAGCGTGTCATTCTACCACAAGGTGATCCCAGGGGCAAATGTACTCCCACCTACGAAGGGCCATTTGTTGTCAAGAAAGTATTCTCAGGCGGTGCTATGATGCTGACCACTATGGACGACGAAGATTTCCTGCACCATGTGAACGCGGACATAGTAAAAAAATATTATGCATAAGAATGACTCGCTAGGTTGACACACCTAGGCAAAAATAAGGCATCCCAGCGAACCAAAAGGGTTCGGGCAAAAATTAGGGATATACACAAAAGATTGTACACCCGGCAAGTCGAAAACCTGAAAGGGCGGCTTGGGTAAAAAAGGGTATCCTGGTGGACTGAAAATCTGAAAGGGCAGTCCAGGCAAAAATTAGGGATTAAAAGCGTACGACTATGTCCTGTTGGATCACCTACATGCAAGCTTTATTACCAAAGTTGAAAGTTCAAATGGTTCAATCAACTTCTTCCGATGACAAGGGACGAGATGTTCAAAGACATAGAGGCAATCTTGGAACCCAATGAGACCACTTCCACATGGCTATATATATTTATTTTCACTTTATACTCTTTTCATTTCACGACGACTTCCTCTTACTAGGGTTTCCGTCTCTTTGTACAAAATCGTCTGTTTATAGGCAAATTATCAATACAAATACATCTTAAAGTTCAAACTCTTGGTTTTTTCAGTTTTGTTTTCAAAAACGTCCAATGACTAAATTTAATGAAGCATATGCATATGAACATGATTAACTGTTAACAAATATACACATAAGAACAGGAATGAGAATTTACTCAAAACTCTAGGAGTTGGGATGACGTTAAAGCTGTCCATAAATCCCCACAGAGCCACTCCTATGAGATTATCCCCACAGAGTAATCTTCACAAATAAGGGTACATTACCCACAGTATCCCCGACAGTTTCAGCAAATAAAGGAGTATAATCTCCTTCCCGTAATTTCCCTACGGAGTTCCAATCAGTACAGTTCCTAAAAATTCTCTTTCCCATCTGAGTTTGGTCCTCCAAAACTGAAAAAGAAACTTTGCAGAGTTTCTTCTCTCTAGCAAAATTCAATTTCCCCAAGAAAGTTTGTTTCCCCATCAAGAGCACTTCTCCATCGACAAGGTTTATTTCCCCAACATGGTTTATTTCCCCAACAGACTACAGTTTCCCCAACTTGAATCTATTCCTCAGACTACCACAAATCACTGATAAAATTCCTCTCCCCAGTGAAGTCATCACTATCCCTAGAATCCGACCAAATACCAGTTAACTTTTGTCCTCCCTAGATGAGTCAGAAGATTATCCATCTCTTTTATCCCTAGTCAATGTATATAAGAACTATCCTCCCTAGACGAGTCAGAAGGTTATCCATCTCTTTTATCCCCAGTCAGAGTATATAAGAATTAAACTCTCCAGTAGAGCAACAAACGACCAATGTTCCTAAACTCTACTCCCCAAACAGGAAATTAGTACATTCCCTACAGAGTTTCCTCAAACAAGTAAGCAGGGATCCCAGGCGGAAGTATTATATACAAGATTGAAGATACACATACTCTTCATCCCCAACAATAGTCAAGGATTTATTTTTCCAGACAAAGATACTGCACAGGCTTACAAATACACTTCACAACATTTCACATTCATATGTCATAACATATGCATATGAAACGCATGTAGCACAATCTCATTTACTTTGAGAACATCATTATGCAATGCATTTCATACATAATGACATTGCATACAATTAAATCTTTACCTTTTCAGGAAGAATCAATCAACAAACCAATATCATCAACAAATCCTCAAAATAGATTGTAGGTCATTTCCTGAAACAAGACAGGATAAATATCTACGTGA